TTCCTGGTTAGAGCTGGAACCCATACTACTAAGTGAAGTTTCCCAAGAATGGAAAAACAAGCACCACATATACTCACCAGCAAATTGGTATTAACTGAACAGCACCTAAGTGGTCACATAGGTATTGCAGTAATAGGGTTTTGGGCAGGTGGGAGGGGGAAGGGGGTGGGTATATACATACATAATGAGTGAGATGTGCACCATCTGGGGGATGGTCATGCTGGAGACTCAGACTTTTGGGGGGAGGGGGGTAAATGGGCATTTATTGAAACCTTAAAATCTGTACCCCCATAATATGCCGAAATAAAAAAAAATTAAAAAAATGTGAGAAGCACAGAATAGTGGAGAATTGAAGGGAAAACTTCTACGGCAAAGAGGATATGACACAAACCGGAGCTGAAGGAACCTACAGTGCAATGTGGGCTGGGGACAGTGAGGTGATGGGTTCATTGCCTTGGACTCACTGCGGGAAATACGGAGCGAGGCGCTCCACTGTTACAAGAGTGAGTATCTAAAGGGGACATTTTAGAATTATATCCAGTATTGGAAAGTAAAGACAGAAAAACCCTTTGAGATACTGGGCAACAGAGTGCCTAATTTGAGCTCAGACTTGTGCTGCACTTTTTAAAGCTTCCTTTCCCCTACCTAGTCCTCTTTGTTTTATCTTCCACTGGGTCTGTTTTCCCTCCAACTGCCTTTGACACTCTTCAGTTCTCCCTAATATATTTAGCTGACATTTTCCAGTAAAGAACGCAGCGTCTGCCAATTTACCCCGAGAACATGCCAGTTTCAGCCTGTCTTCTCCTTCCTTTCTCACCATCGCTCTCTCTCTCTGCATTTCTCATTATGTATTTCTTCTAAGTTGTTTCTCCTTCTCCTGCCCTGTTCAGTTCCCTTTTTTCTTCAGTATTGATATTCCTTTATCATTGTATCTTCCTTCCACCCCTCTACGTGGTTTTTCTTCTTGCTAGCCTTTGCTGAGGGACCAGAAGCCAAATCTTGTCTTACCCAGAAAGTCTCAGGGGAGAGTGTAGAATAATCAGAATGTAAGTAGAATTGTTCCTGGACAAAGAAAGCTGTGCATGAAGGATGCACAGGCCAGGAACCTCTTGTCTGCCCCCACAGGGGTTAGGGCGGGGGTTCTCAGCGTGAGTGGCTTCAGAGTCAGTGGGGAGCCTGGTAAAACACGGACTGTCTGCCCGTCCCGGAGTTTCTGATCGGTAGGTCTGGGCGGGGCCCGAGGATGTGCATCTCTAACAGGTTCCCAGGTGATGCCCTCGGTGGGACTGGTCCAGGGGCAGCACTTTGAGAACCACTGGAGTTGGGGACAACAGCTGTCGGGCGTCAAGGCTCAGTAGTGCAGGGTGGCAGTCAGGCAGGGCAGACCTCTGAGGAAATGGAGGTCTTGTCACATCTGTCACATCAACAAAGGGACTGGCAGCAGCCTAGGGAGCCCTGGATAAGAGATGGAGCGGGTGTGCTGGGGTGCAGGGAGCAGGGTAGGACGAAGGGTGAAAGGTCTGTATCATAACCTTCTGGGAAACTCCGAAGTCAGCTCCAAGCCCTGTCAGCCACCCTCCCACTTGAGACCATGCATAGAAGCAGCAGAAGGGAACTTTCAGGGTCCCTTTGATCTCCTCCCAGATCCCCAGTGCTCCGTCTGTTTATCTTCCTCCTTCCCCGGCCTCCTCCTCCCCGCTCTGTACCCCCTGCCCAGAGGATGATTCACGCCACTCTCCCCCGCCCCCTGCCATCTGTTTTTCTAATGATGGCAGGAGATGAGCTGTTCTGTTGGCCCACCCGGCACAAAGCACACTCCACGCTCACATTTTTCCCAATGCACTCTCAGAACGCTCTTTTACTGGCATCATTTCCCCACCCAGTTTTCTCTTTTCTCTCAAACCCCACCCTTTCCCCCTCTCTGGCCTCATGTGGATCCCACTTTCCCAGAATTAGATCAAGAGACACAGAGATTCAGAGGAATGGGGGAGCATGCATGCAGCGGGGTGTGCCTGGGGAGGAGGCTGCGGACACGGCACTTAGTCGCTCTTCCTGCAGCACACAGCACAGCAGGGACCCAGCACTGATGCGAAGTGGCTTATTTACTTCCAGTGTGAGATTTGGATGGTAAAACCTGTTATGACTGAGACTAGAATATTTGTATTTGTCACTGGCTGTTCCCAGGGTGGGAAGGCTTAAATGGCACTCGAGAGTGTGTGTGTGTGTGTGTGTGTGTGTGTGTGTGCGCGCGCGCGCGTGTGTGGTGTATAAGCATGCCCTTCCCTCGTTGCAGAATTCCTGGGTCATCCTTTTTCATTAAGACTCTCATTCTTGACTCCTCTTTGTTAGCTCCAATTAATCTAACTAAATAATTCCCAGCACCCTACGTCCCCTGCTGCTAGGGGATTCCACTATGTGAAGAAGTACACAGGATTTCTTGAGGTAGTGAAGACCCATTTTGGCTAACCAACAGTGGACAACAGATCTGCCTTAAAGGCTGCAAACGCAGATGACCCAGGGAGTTATTTTAAATGAGATGAGCAGCCACAGGGAGAGGTAAAGACTGTGCTAACTGGAGAGAGTTGTCCTTCTACAGTTGTAGCTGCCGCTCTGATCCAGCTAATTGTTTTCATGGTTGCCAGATATTCTCGTTTTTCCAGAGAAAAATCTTTGCACAAAAAGGTTTTTATATTTATTTTTATTTGGGGTATGTGTCTATGTGTATAATGTTATATTTGCACATATGGATTGTATGTAAAAATCCCAATTTTTAAACATTGGCAACCAAAAAAAAAGTGTTTTTGGACATCAGTGCCTGCCAAGGGAATCTGTCTGTGGGCCACTGGCCTGCAAACCCTGAGCTAATGAAGCGCAGACAATGCCCAGTCACATAATCCCCAAACCATAAATCATTCTGACTTGCTTTTTAACTTATTTTGTATTAAGTCATTTAAAGTAGGACTCTGAAGATTTTGCTAAAAACAAATAAAAAATCAGATAGCCTAATTTCTATAAATTTGGGATTGTGGAGCCAACTTAATCTAAGAGATGCAGCAAAGAGCAGAAGAGATGGGAGATCAGGGTCCTAGACCAGAAGGACGGCAGTTCTGTGAGCCAAGCACAGCAGAGTGCTCCGTCCGGGCCGGAGGGGAGGCCCACTTACCTCGCACGACTGGATGCAGTGGACCAGGACAGGATCCGGGTGCCATTGGCGCCGGCCTGTGCACACGATGTTCTAAAGGGGAAGATGGAAAAACAGAAAACAAAAGCAGAGACGTTTGGTCTGCGAGAGAAGGGGCGAATCCTGAGCTTAGCCCACCGGTCCAACTCCGTTCCCAGGGTAGCAAGGTTGTGCCCCACGACGAGGACCAGGCCATCTGCCCTTTCCTGTGGAAACCGTTGGCCCCGCTAGACCGCGCCAAGGCGGAAACTCTCAGAGGAGAAGATTTTTCATCCTTTTCATCTTCCTCTTCCTTCCTCAAGGTATCAAAAATTTCAAAGTAGTTGAGATGTTGTTAGAAAAAAAAGCATTCTCAATATCATAATGAGTTTTATTTGGTTTTAAGCACAATATCACTTCCATTTACCTTGAAATTTTAAATAATGTTATCAGAAATTATGAGATGGTTGTGTTGATCAAGACACACCATGGATTTGTAAAGGCTGACATATATAGCTTTACAGAAGAGTTTTCAACTAAAAGTGGATCTCAGAAATCCGAGATTATAAAATGTGAATGCCAAGGCAGGACCAAAGGTGACATTGCCTTCTCGGAAACTCTTGTGAGCACGGGGCCTTCCTGGTAGCAGATAAAATAGTATGCACCCACGGGACAAACAGGGCTCATGAGAAATCACAGGTACTTCAGACAGTACCAGCATCAAGCTGGTGGGAGTGCAAACAGGCTGGTATTGAACACCTGTGACCGTCTCATTCCCAATGGCCATTCTCAGATGTACATTTAAACAAATAGTCATCTACTCTTTGTTAAATAATAACTCATTTTCACTGTGCTTTTTTCTTTTTCTTTTTGTATTACAAAATTTTCAAAGGATACATTTGTCTCAGGAAAAGAGAAAGTCCCATAGCAGGTTTCAAAGAGAAAAGAAGATTCTCTCCATAACTGACTCCCAACCCACCCATCTGCAGACTTGCATACTCACATTTTAATCAGTACAGTGGAATTCAGTGCGATCAAAAAGAAAAATGATACGTGATGACATATGAGCTTTACACAAGATAGCACCTCCAATAATTGGAAATTATACATTCTGGAGTGCTAGCACTGTGCAATAATTATATTGGAGACATTTGCATATATTAATATGCAGGTATATAAATATATACCTCATAGCCAGACAAGAGAATGGGAATCTGCAATATTTTTATGGAATTATGCTACTAAAAACTAAAACTTCTCTTTCACACCTTCCCTAGAGGGAAAATAAATAGTATAAATCCTCACAAAGTTTGATATTCAAAACTCCATATTGTAATATATTATTAGGAGGTGATTTGGCTTAAGTTATTATTGCACTGAAAAAGGATTATTAAAACAAATATATAAGGTAAACATACCAGGGGTCTTTGAATTCCTGAAAAAGTAGGTTATTCTCCTGCACTTAAAGCCACTTAAGCAGAACCATTTGCATATAAATGATAATTCTGCTAACTAGAAGTGATTCTTGTTTATGTTTTAAAGCAAGTTCCTTTGGAACTCTATTTAGCAATGGCCGCGAATACTATGCATTCACGGAATGCAACATCCCAGGTACCCTAAAATAAACAGAATCCCAAGGTACACTGTACAGTAAAATAAAGTAAGACAAATAAATAACAATAAACCAAAATAAAGAGCAAATAAAATTACACTATTCTACAATTTTTGTGAATTGAATTGAATAATTGACTGATTGAGGTGAGGACCTGGAGGCCCTGAGTGAGTACAATACTCTGAGAAGGAAAAGGCTGCCATGCATTTGCATTTCAAGGGACAAGTTATTGTATTTTCTTATGACTGCTCTCTGGGGACAGCAAATAAGTAAGAAACACTGATATTCCAGGGTGCAGTCTCTCTCCTACTCCTGTTCCCCAGCCACCCAGTTTCTTCCATCCTAGTTCTAGATCTTTTTCAAATGTCATGCAGAGATATTCTGTGCACACACACACACACACACACACACACACACACACACACATATATATAAATTCTTTATTTCCTCACAAAAATTATAGAATACTATAATTTTATCTTGCTCTTTATTTTGGTTTATTGTTGTTTATTTCATTGTCTTACTTTATTTTACTTTACAGTGTCTCTTGGGGTTCTGTTTATTTTAGGGTATCTGGGATGTTGCATTCAGTTGAATGCACAGTATTCCATTACATGAATATACCCTAATTTATTTAATCAGACCCATGTTGATAAATATTTTGATGATTCTCAGTGTTTTGTTATAATGAATGTAGCCTATGTATGAATTATGTACAAATATATCTGAAGAGTAAATTCATGATAGTGAAATTGACAATACTCATCTCATGAATTTTTTAATGATTTGTAATTTAGTCTTGAGACTAATTCAGATTGACAACCCCTCTTAATCTCTATAAAAATTGCAAGAGTTGGTGATATTTGTGTCATATCCCTTCCAGATTGCAAAATCCTTGAGAATAGGGACTGGCTACTGCTTCTATTTCTTATCTCAGTGACTTCAGAGAGAGAAGTTTTACAAGCATTTGCCAACAACTAACTGCGATGTTGTATCTTTAGGCTTCTATAAAAATCACCCACCCCATAAAGATGCCACTTATCTATAAAGATACACATATGCCATCTTTTGAATAAGTACTTACAAATCATAATTGGATAAAAATTTCAAATGTTTTTCAGGACTCAATGTTATGGGCATATTTGAGGTGCAAAAGTGTGGTATAATAAGAAGAAAATCAGTGATTTTCCTCACTCTCTGGAACACTTTTGACAAATTGCAATCATATATGTTAAATTTTAAAGCCATTGAGAATAATAGAAAAACAATTTTACGTTCGCTGCCCACTTTATCAAATCTTAACAATTTGCTGTATTTTTCTCCTGAGTATGTCACTATAGATTCAGTAAATGTCTCCTATGTATGTCAAATATCATTCAAATATCATTCTCCTTCCTTCCTCTCTATTGGTAGCAACTATTCAGAATTTGTCATTGTTTCTTGGCACTAGTCTATTATTACAACTATTGCTATTGTGCTATTAGCAGGCAACTTCCCAGATGAATTGATTGTGAACAACTGTCAAGGATTTGTTCTGAACTTTTCAAAAGGAAATGTTCATGAGAAACCAGTTTAAAAATCTCCCCATAGTTGGGCCATTTGAAAGCTTCAAAAAAGCAAGTGGGTAAAAAAGAAAAGAATAAAAGGAAAAAATAGAGGGAGGAAGAAGAGGGATGGAAGAGGACAGAAGTGAAGGAAGGAGAAAAAGAAGGAGAGAGAGAAGAAAAGAAGAAAGAAAGAAAAGAAATAAAAGGAGGAAGGGAGGGAGGGAGGGAGGGAGGCAGGGAGGCAGGGAGGGGCTGGCCAGTAAAGGGTTATTAGGATGGTTACAAGGCTGTATGAAGGCTGTTGCCTGGTTAAATGTCTTGTGAAAGGTCACAAACTCACGATTAGCCAACACTAAGGTCTAACAGAAAATTGCCCAATTGTTTTTTAACAGGAATAGTTACTTGACAGAATGAGCTGTTAATCACATCAGGCCACAAAGTTCTGCCAATGCCCAGGTTTGTGACAATTTCCTTATTGCTACTGTATGCAACCCTAAATAAAACACAGCATTGCTCTGTGTGTTTATTTAGACCATGCATAGTGCACTATCCTGCAATTTGTTTTTTCAGATCCTCTGCCTCTTTCCTCCAAGACTCTCTGTCTACTCTCTCTCAATGCCTAGAAGGAATGATCTTGTGTATAAAAATTATGAAAAAGAAGACCTTTCCATGACTTATGCCTGAGGCTACACTGAGCTGCAACAAGTATCACTGGAGCTGTTACTACAATTGAGCCCAGCAAGAGCACACTCTGGGCGGGGCTGGCCATTAAGAGCCTGTGCAGCCGGAAACCTTGGCTCCTGCTGGACGTATCTGCTCTTTCCTTCCTCCTTCATTCTTCTCTGTGAAACATTCTGTGTTTATTTAAAGAACTGTTGATCTTTTGGGCAAGAATTTGGGGAAACCAAGTCAGAAGTGATAAGATTTGCTATACTCAGTGATCTTGCTGACGGGCCGGGGGCTAGCACGCCGTGTCAGAGGCTCTGTGACAGCCCACCCCGTGTAGCCACAGGGATCGCCATCATCTGGATGTCCCTGATTCGTGGTCACGACAGCACTAGCGACAGAAAAGCATTGTTCAGCCTGAGAAAAAGGAATGTAAGAGCAAAATAATAGGAGAAATGAGATGTTATGATGGATGCTTTTGTACTTCCGGAAGGAAACACTTTCAAATGCAATTTAGGAAAACTCATTTACATGCAAACAATTGCCACACTGTGTGAAAATAACCCTCTCCATGAAATCAGTTTCCTGAAGGACCACTACTGTGTAAGTTAAAAGATTAGTTTACCTATTTTAAAGTCAGGGGATATGATAAAACACTCTGTTGACGCAGTGGTTACGGGCAATCACAAAAATTCAACCTTACACAGGCTTGTTGACAAATCAAAGGGTATTCTTTGAGAAAGGGCTCCGGGGGAGCCCTTGCTTTCTATAGGCTCTTTGGTTTCGCACACGCAGACATGCTGAGGGGCAGGTGAAAGCATCCTGCACTGTGGTGACCTCCTTCCCACCCTCGGTGACCCTATGGCTTAGCGGGGAATTGGGGTTAACATGACAGGAAAGAGTAAAAAGAAAGAAAACAATCAAGAAAAGGAAAAAATAGCGATGAGAACATGACACAGGGCTTCTAGCAAAAGTCTGAGGGGAGCGCCTCCCACCCTCAGTGCGGGTGCCCTGGGCTCCCAGGGGCCAGCTGCTGCCGGGTGCGGGCACCAAGGGCATGCACAGTGGGCACCAGCACTGGCCGAGGTGTGGCTGCCCGGTCCCCGCTGCCAGGCCCCACTGCTTGGTCACCATGGCTGGCAGGCATCCAGTGGACTGCCAGGGAACTCTTTTGTCTGCATCCTTCTTTTCTGTCAAGACATTTCCCTCCCCGGAAAGGTCTAGATCCCTGTGTGTAGAAGAGAAGGAGG